CAAACTTATGATGCATTTGACCTCGCCTTCAGTCAAAGCCTGGTCATCTTCTATGGTTTTACTTTAACTGCATTTTAAATTTAAACTCTTTATCTATTGTTTTAATGTTTTATAGTGTGTTTTAATCAATGTTTGTAAGCCTAGAGTCACCTTTGGTGGTATGGCTGGCCTACAAACAGAATTACAGACTTCGGAAGGGACCTTGGAGGTCTTCTAGTCCAACCTCCTGCATACAAATTTAATCTATCCATCAATTTTCAAAACATTATTATGCATGAAGGTGTGGAATTAGTTGAATTTGAACTTCTCCTAAGATCCTAACTGATACTGTAACTGGAGCCTGAGTGGCGTAGGAGGCTAATGCCTCCTACTAAGGCAGCATTTAACATCCAGCTGCTTGCAATTACTGCAGGTTCGAATCTCGCCAAGGCTCAAGGTCGACTCAGCCTTCCATCCTTTCTAAGGTGGGTGAAATGAGGACCCAGTTTGTGGGGGTAATAAGATGACTTTGTATAAATATACAAAAAAGTATGAAGGCTACTGCTTAGCGCATTGTAAGCCGCCCTGAGTCTCCGGAGAAGGGCGGCATATAAAAATAAATAAAAATAAAAAAATAAAAAAAAATACGTTGAAGGAAAAATGAGAAGGCACATTTTTACATTTACATTTTCTTCTTTCCTTTTACTGATTGCGCCACCGGTTAAAAAAAAAATAAGCAAAACATTTTTTTTGCAAGTAGCTGTGATGGGCCCAAGAATGGACACCTCTTTGCATGTCTCTCATTCAGAAAGTTATCGGCGTCACACAAAGGGCTCCGCGTCGATCAAATTCACAATGTTTTGATTTCGACAACCTCATTCTGTACGAAAATCCAATCCGTTCAGGTGTACCACCATGTTCATTCTTTCCAGCAACAAGAAAACGCTGAACTATGTTGCTATGAAAAAGACGAGCACAAGGAAAAATTGAGCAGCCGTAGTGCCCTTCCCGCAAATTTCCTCAACCCCACCGACAAAACATTTGGTGTGACTAGATAAGCTCTTTACGGTTGACAAGACCGAATTTCAACCGATGTTGAAATTCAAAGGAAGGACGTTCGTGCTGAAAGCTAGGAGAAATTTCCTGGAAATAAGCATTGAGACCATCGGCTGACAACAGCAACGGAGAACCTCTCATTGAAGGCTCTCAAAAAAAGCTGGTTAGATGATGATCAGTTTCTGTGGTTAGTTTATTAGATATCCTGAATTAAACAAGTTGAGCTAGACGGTCTGTTAAGGACTTTTTCTGTAGGAGAAGGAATGACAGACTGGGGCGGAGTGAAAAGAGGCATCAGCCTAGAATCCCTACATGGCCACAAGCAAACTAAATCCAACCTTCCTTGAGCCCTGCTGAGCAGTGGTGATTTTCAATTGGTGTTACAACCAGTTCGTTCGTGCACACTCACACGAGAGACCACGTTTGGTCCAAGATTATCCAACACTTTTCAGGGTTAATCGAGAATTTGAATGGGTCAAATCGAAGATCTTAGAGGTTGGGAAGAATTTGAGGTCATATACGCCACAACGAGGGACAAAGAAAGAAAATAGACGTTCCCATGATGAATGGGGCCATTGCAGCATGGCTGGCACATTTAGATTTGTAGCCGTCCAACAGTCTCATTGAAAAAAGATCGACCTATATATATATCGGCAACAGCGGTGGGTTTCTAATATTCTTAGCAGCGGTTCGTGCATACACTTTGCTCGCTCGCGCATCTTCCATGCATGTTTTCGAGGCACGTTTTCGAGCCCAGCCTCAAAAACGTGCCTAAATAGGATCGCATAGAGATGAGGCGGGAAGGCGGGCCCACCCGCGATCTCCACAACCGCTTCACCCAAACCAGTACGAACCGGCTGAAACCACCTCTGATCGGCAACGACATTTCCTTATTAAATCAGCTTTCAAAGAAGGAAATAAGCACATTTTAAAGTCAAGAGCATTAAAAAAACCACTTAGTTCCCATAAGCCATTTTTCTTCTAATCCAACTCACATCCAGACAGCTGAGTTGGAAGAATAAAGTCTGCAGCAAAAGAGAGTTGTGAGAAGAAGTTGACGGAAGAAACAAGAAGAAAGTTCTAGTTCTTTTTTTTTTTCTTGTACAATCAGTTCCATTCCAAACATATATTTTGGAGCAACTTCTAAAGTGAACTAACACAGCTGGCCTGTATCTGGCCACGATGAATTAATTCATTGGATGAATTGATTTCTGGAATTAATTACGCTAGGTGGAATTAAAAGAAAAAAGGAGAGGTTTTTATAAATCTCTTTATTTCCAAGGAATAAATATTCCCCAGGAAGTCAAGAATAAGTTAAATCTGATTAGACGGATACACAGGTAGTTCTTGACTTATAACAGTTCATTTAGTGACCATTCGAAGTTAAAACAGCACTGAAAAAAGCGACTTATGGCTGTTTTTCACACTTATGACTGTTGCGGCATCCCCATAGTCACGTGATCAGAATTCAAACACTTGGCAACTGGCATGTACTTATGACAGTCGCAGTGTCCCAAGGTCACCTGATCCCCCTTTGGAGATCTTCAGACAAGCAAAGTTAACGGGGAAGCCAGATTCACTTAACAACCATGTTACTAACTTAACAACTTCTGTGATTCACTTAATAACTGTGGCAAGAAAGGTCGCAAAAATGTGGCGAAAACTCACTTGAACAAGTATCTTGCTTAGCGACAGACATGTTGTGGTCGTACGTTGAGGACTTCCCGTATGAAAAGGAAATGAAAAACTCTCCGGAACAAATATATATAATTTAAAATGCTCAAATCTTATGGAACTCACATTGTATGGATTTCACAAAGTATTCCGTGGGCCGCAACAATGCATGAAATGATAGGTAAAAGGTAAAGGTTCCCCTCGCACCTATGTGCTAGTCGTTCCTGACTCTAGGGGGCAGTGCTCATCTCCGTTTCAAAGCCGAAGAGCCAGCGCTGTCCGAAGACGTCTCCGTGGTCATGTGGCCGGCATGACTCAACGCCAAAGGCTCACGGAACATTGTTCCCTTCCCACCATATGTGGTCCCAATTTTTTCTACTTGCATTTTTTACCTGCTTTCGAACTGCTAGGTTGGCAGAAGCTGGGACAACTAACGGGAGCTCACCCCATTACGTGGCACCAGGGATTCGAACCGCTGAACTGCCGACTTTTTGATCGAGAAGCTCAGTGTCTTAGGCCCTGAGCCTCCGCGTCCCACGCATGAAACGATATAAAGAGGTTAAAATCCTTATAATGTGCATTTTAATCCTGTGAGGTTGATCAGTTTTGAGCATTTTAATGTCTACTACGCCCTGTGCGTTATTTCTTCCTATGATTATATCTCTTTATATACCCTCAAGCTTCTGTCCCCGGCCTCATGAACAGCTTTTCCTGTAAATTCTGATATTATCTGTTCTTTTTTTTTTTTTTTCCTGTTTCTGCTATAGTTTATCTTCTTAAGAGAAAAGCAAATTGCTCTTTCCTTTTGGGCGGTTTTTCTGGTCTCAAAGAAATTGCAATATGTCCCCCACGTAATCATGTTAAGATATCTCCCCCTCCCCATTAGATAATGAAGGAGAGCAACATAACCAAAGGGTTAGATATAAATGCAAACACATCTAATTTCGTTCTATTTTTTATCGTCAATTGCTCTTTTGAAGGATCAGGGCGGTTTGCAACGGTAGAACCACAGATATTGAAGGTGAAGCTTAAATACTGATAACAAACCCCACTCCATAATGAATTGGTGATTGTCCCTCAAGCTGGAAGGACATCATAGAACCAAAAAAAAAAAAAGATGATTTTCAGTTCAGAGGTTTTGATGAACCTTGGCTCTATGACCTTGCCAAACTTCCACCGCTCCAAAAAAAAATTAAGGACGTAGAATTTCAGGCAGAAGTCAATAACCCATAAAGCACTGATGGGATTCAGCAGCACTTCGGGAGAACCGGTTGTTAACTTTCTGAGCAGTTTGGTGAACCGGTTGTTTGGAAGAAATTATTAGGGCAGAGAACCGGTTGTTAAATTATTTGAATCCCACCACCGCAATAAAGGAGAATATTTGTAGCTCAGGGCTGAAATGACTAGCACTGATGATGTTACCTAGTTGGGTAATGAAAGGTCTGCAAGAAAACCACCAAGCTCAGAGAGCACCAAGGACCCCCACAGTCATCCTCCTCCTCTTCCTCCTCCTCCTCCTCCTCCTCCTCCCAAATCCCCTCCCTTCTAGCACTGATGATTTTACCTAGTTGGGTAATGAAACGTTTGCAAGAAAAAAGCAAGCTCAGAGAGCACCAAGGATCCTATAGTCTTCTTCTTCTTCCTCCTCCTCCTCCTCTCACAAACCCCACTCCCTTCTAGCACTGATGATGTTACCTAGTTGGGTCATGAAATGTCTGCAAGAAAATAACCAGCTCAGAGAGCACCAAGAATCCTATAGTCTTCTTCCTCCTCCTCCTCCTCCTCCTCCTCCTCCTCTTCCTCCTCCTCCTCCTCTCCACAAACCTCACTCCCTTCTAGCACTGATGATGTTACCTAGTTGGGTCATGAAACGTCTACAAGAAAACAACCAAGCTCAGAGAGCACCGAGGACCCACTCAAAGACTTTGGCCCCCAAACAAAGGGAGAGGACGCCTTGGAGAAGACCCTGAGGTTGGGGAAGATGGAAGGCCAAAGGAGAAGGGGAACAGCAGAGGATGAGATGGTTCGGTAGGGTCATGGACGCAATGAACGTGAATTCGGTCAAACTCCAGAAGACAGTGGAACCCAGGGGGAGGGGTGGCATTTTGTGGTCCGCGTCGTCGCGAAGAGTCGGACACAACTTAGAAGAACAAACAAGAATGCAATCTCTCCTTCCACGGCACCTCCCTGACACACGGGAAATCCCTCACGAAAAAGAAGAGTTTACGCTGGTCTTGTTTAAGCCACCCTCGCTGGTTTTTCTCACGCATTCAAGTAATAGCATTCCTTACTTCAGCAGCCAAATAGTTTCCGGTCGCCAGGTGTTTAAATCTGAACAGGCTGTTCCACTGTCCTGCGCCACCGCGGCAAGGGTCGTGATGCACCACCTGCAGAGAAACACACAGGGAGATGTCAAACACCGTCACAACGCTGGAATTCTGCTTGATTTAACGCCATGTCAACAACACCGGGATGAGAGAGAGGGAAAGAGAGAGGGAGGCAGAGAGAGAGAGAGAGGAAGAGAGAGAGGGGGGGGGAAACAGAAGGAGAAGGAGGGAGGGAGAGGGAGAGGGAGAGAGAAGCAGAGAGAGGGAGGGAGGAGATAGAGGAAAACAGGGAGGGAGGGAAGCAGAGGGAGGGAGGGAGGAAAAGAGGGAGAGGGAGGGAGGAGAAAGAGGGGAAAACAAGGAAAAGGAGGGAGGGAGGAGAGAGAAAGGAAAACAGAAGGAGAAAGAGGGAGGGGGAGGGAGGGAGGGAGGGAAGGAAGCAGAGAGAGGGAGGGAGGGGAGAGAGGAAAACAGGAAGGGAGAGGGTGGAGAGGGAGGGAAGGAGGAGAGAGAGGAAAACAAGGAGAAGGAGGGAAGCAGAGAGAGGGAGGGAGGGGAGAGAGGAAAACAGGAAGGAAGAGAGTGAGGAGGGAGGGAAGGAGAGAGAGGGAGGAAAAGAGGGAGAGGAAGGGAGGAGAGAGAGAGGAAAACAAGGAGAAGGAGGGAAGCAGAGAGAGGGAGGGAGGAGAGAGAGGAAAACAGGGAGGGGGAGAGAGGGAAGGAGAGAGGGAGGAAAAGAGGGAGAGGGAGGGAGGAGAGAGAGAGGAAAACAAGGAGAAGGAGGGAAGCAGAGAGAGGGAGGGAGGAGAGAGAGGAAAACAGGGAGGGAAAAGGAGGGAAAGAGAGAGAGAGGAAAAGAGGGAGAGGGAGGGAGGAGAAAGAGAGGAAAACAAGGAGAAGGAGGGAGGGAGGAGAGAGAGAGAGGAAAACAGAAGGAGGAGGGAGGGAAAGGGAGGGAGGGAAGGAAGCAGAGAGAGGGAGGGAGGAGAGAGGAAAATAGGGAGGGAGAGAGAGGGGAGGGAGGGGAGGAGAGAGAGGGAGGAAAAGAGAGAGAGGGAGGGAGGAAAGAGGGAGGAAAACAAGGAGAAGGAGGGAGAGAAGCAGAGAAAGGGAGGGAGGAGAGAGAATAAAACAGAAGGAGAAGAAGGGAGGGAGAGGTAGTGAGGGAGGAAAAAGAGGGGGAGGGAGACGGAGGGAAGGAAGAAAGGAGAAGTTTTAACAACAGAAGTTTTGGGGTTCCATTGTGGTCATAAGTTGAGGGCTAGCTGTGTTAAAAGGACAAGAAAAAGCTCTCCGGGACAAATATATATTCTGTGGTCACCACCATTCTGGAAGTAGATCCAGCAAGACCATCTCGGAAAGCTTCTATTGATCCAGGGTGGTCCCTTCTCAATTTATTTGGGGGTATCAGTGTGGATTAAAGAGGTTACAAGGAACATAAAGCCCAGTTAGGGAATTTCTCTCCCCTCCCCCCAAAAATACCTCTATTTCCCACAGGGCTTTCGAACTCGTTGCCGAAGTGGCCGACTGCCTCAAAGTTGTGCGAAGGAAAATGTGTTGCTTCTGCTGGTATTCATCGCAGGTCAGAAACTTCTCCTGTTCGGCATGGAACAACCTGACCACATCTCCCTGGATAGACAGAGAGATGGAAAGAAAAAAAAAAGGAGGGAGGAAGACAGGAAGAGAGAGAAAGAGATTAAGAGAGAGAGATTGAGAGAGAAGAAAAAAGAGACAGAGAGAGGGACAGAGAGAGAGAGAAAGAGAAAGAGAGAGAGAGAAAGAGAGATTGAGAAAGAGATTGAGAAAGATTGAGAGAGAGAAAGAGATTAAGGGAGATTGAGAGAGAGAATGGGAGAGCGAGAGAAAGAAAAAGAGAGAGATTGAGAGCAAGAGATTGAGTGAGAGAGAGGGAAAAAAGAGAGAGAAAGAGAAAGAGAGAGAGATTGAGAAAGTGATTGAGAAAGATTGAGGGAGAGAGAAAGTTTGAGAGAAAGAGATTAAGAGAGTTTGAGAGAGAGGGAGAAAGAGAGATTGAAAAAGAGAGTGAGAGAGATTGAGAGAGAGAAAGAGATTAAGGGAGATTGAGAGAGAGAGAGAATGAGAGAGCAAGAGAAAGAGAAAGAGAGAGAGATTGAGAAAGATTGAGAAAAAGAGATTACGAGAGAGAGAGAGATTAAGAGAGAGAGGGGGGAAAGAGAGAGAGAGAGAGAGAGAGAGAAAATGAAGAGAGAGAGAGAGAGAGAGAGAGAAAGAGATTGGAAAAACACTGTTTTATACTTTTTCCATAAAATTTAGGACAGAGATCCCAAATTTCTGCAGGGTGCGTAGAAGATCATCAATGTCCCTGGAAGATCTAAAACCCAAAAGGCCATCTTATTTTTCTTTTTTTTTCCCATGAGAGGGAGTTAAAAGTGAGAGTCAGATTGAGGGATACCAGCGGACGCAATCTTGCCTGGGCACGGTGCTTAAACTTAAAGGATGAACAAATTGGCTTTACAAATACCTCCCACTTCTCATTTTTATTTTGGGTAGAGTGAGGAAATGTCGGTTATCAAAATGTGGTCCATTTGCCACCATGGAAGACTAGATGTTGACTTCGTCTTGTTTATGGCTTTCTTCCGAGTCTTCCTGACAAGAATGAAAAAAAAAATGTAGGATTCTATGCAAAAAAATAATCATTTTTGAAGATGGATAAACAGGACTCAAGAAGGACCCTCCTATAAAAGAATAGGTTTCAGAACAACTGGAAATATTACTTGTTGATCATAAAAATAGCTAAGGTGGGGAGCTACGGAAATGAATAAATTTTATAATAATAATTTTAAAAAGACACTTACACCTTTAAGAACATCTTCTCTGTAGCAACTAAATTTCATGAACAAGGTAATTTTCCAACTGGTGTTACAATTCACTGCGTTGACCTGCATTCAAGAAGATGAAGAATTTGTAAACCAGGTTATGAAACAACCACATAGAAAAGTTTCTATCATGTTACACTCTGACAAATTACTGTTTTTATCTGTTTTATACTGACAAATATCTTTTTTTTTTTATTTGATTTATATGCCGCCCTTCTCTGGAGACTCAGGGCGGCTTACAATGCGTTAAGCAATAGCCTTCATACTTTTGTATATATTTTATACAAAGTCAGCTTATTGCCCCCACAATCTGGGTTTATAAAAACACAATCTGTTTTTATATCCATTTTTATTAGAATAACTTTCAACCTGCCTCCAGAAATTGTGAGTGCTCCAAAACTGGAAGTTTTTAAGAAGAGGTTGGATAACCATTTGTCTGAAGTGGTGTAGGGTTTCCTGCCTAAGCAGGGGGTGGACTAGAAGACCTCCAAGGTCCCTTCCAACTCTGTTATTCTATTCTATTCTAAAACTGTCCTTTGTGCCCATAGGGACTTAATGCTATATCTTTAAAAAAAACTCAAATGAAGCTGCTAAAAATATTTTTAAAAAATAAGTTATATATCAGGAGACACTTGAGCAGATCCTGGCTTAATGTTAATTTAAACGATCACCCAGTAATCTCATATTTCAATCCCATCCATTTCTATAAATATGGCCACGAGGATGTAATGGCCACAAAAACTGAAGGCATTCTTCTCCAATTGGTCTTTCCTGATTTTTCTTGAAGACATTTTGTTAGGATATGGTTTGAGCCTAACAAGTTGTCCAGGCAATATATGTGTTCTGTGACTTTAATATGAATATGTATTGTGTGACTTTAAAGTTTTCCTGCTGATTCATTGTAATGCTGAGTCATGCGGTAATTAGTTGTGAACGTATTTAAGAAAGATACTGTAATCAGTTGATGATAAGCTACCATTGTGTGTGGAGTTGCTACCATTGTGCTATCATCGGTTGGATGGATCTGCTACCATCGTGGTTTGTGAACAGAGTGAGTTTGTTATTCTAACCAACTACTGTTTGTGTGGAAGAGTTTTTGTATCACTGGACTGATTTAACTGGCAAAGACTTGGATTGATTTAAAGACTATGAGATTGTTTTTTTCACTATAAAGTAAACTTTTGATAAATCAGTTTGCACATCTCTTATTCATTGCTCTTAGCAACGTTTCTCTGTGCTCTACACTCTGCTGGTTGGTAACACAACAACAATATCCTTAACACATTTCATCCAAGAAGACTGGAAAGAGTAGAAATTCTTTCCATGCTTCACCGGTTATTTAGCTGACCCCTTGACTGCAACCTACCTAAACAAACCTAGTTAGATGCCTAAATCCTCATTCAAACCTACCTCCTTGCATCCTGGATTATCTAAGAGCTCTATGTTGCTGGCGTGTAATGGTTGTCCAGCATTAACCGGCATCAGGACAACTTTATCTCCGACAAGAATCTGAAAGTTGTAAAAAGAGTCACGTGTTATCGTTCAATTATTATCAATTATTATTCATTAAACATGAAACTCAGTCAACTGAACATTTAAAAGTGTGTTAAAAATTAAACAACAGTCGAAATAGGAGTTGAGGTATAATTGCTAATATGAGGAAACAAAAATCGTAGAAGTAAAAGTGGGTACACGAGTATGGTTATGTATATATGTAAATAAATAAATAAACATTAGAAGGATATGTATAAAAGATATAGTAGAAATAAGGGAGGAAAAAATGTATGAGTATGAAACTTTTGACTTGATGCGAAACTGTTGAAACTGAAAAAGCATTAAAGCTTTCTTTCTGTTTTTAAAAAATGTGTAATAAAAAAGTTTTAAAAATAAAAAATAAAAATGTGTTAAGATGATGATGATGATGATTATTATTATTATTATTATTTATTGGTTAATCTTTAGTGAGATTCACAGCCTTTGAGGCTGGTTAATAGCGCAGCAGCTCGAGTCCTAACCAAGGACCTAGGAACTGTTAAGGTATCGTCGGAGGATGTAAGCTGTTCCGAGTAATTATTATTATTATTATTATTATTATTATTATTATTATTATTATTATTATTTCACTTTATTTCTCTTGCTATTATTTCTATCATCTGGATTCTATTTCGTATCACAGATTCTTACTGGGAATATACCTGATGTCCAGTAAGAACTTTGTGGGTGTCGATTACGATTGATTTTAGCTTGGAACCAACCTGCTTCATTGTATTTTCACTGCTGGGATTATACAAGTAACTGTTCCTTATCCCTGAATATATATTAACATCATTCCATAAATCGCTCCAGAGAGTTTTCCCCCTCATTCCTCCCAGAAGCATCACGAATCAAGAGAAGAGAATATTTGTACTTTGGATTGGAACTGTGGGGTCCTTGGTACTCTCTGAGCTTGGTGGTTTTCTTACAGATGTTTCATGACCCAGCTGGGCAACAACATCAGAAATAGAAGGGAATGGGGTTTGTGGAATGGAGGAGAATGAAAACAATGGGGGGAGGAGAGAGAGAGACAGACAGAGAAAGAGAGAGAGAGAGAGAGAGAGAGAGAGAGAGAGAGAGAAGGAGGAGGAGGAGGAGGAGGAGGAGGAGGAGGAGGAGGAGGAGGAGGAGGAGGAGGAGGAGGAGGAGGAGGAGGAGGAGAAGGAAAACTGTGGGATCCTTGATGCTCTCTGAGCTGGTTGGTTGTTTTCTTGCAGACGTTAAATGGCCCAACTAGGTAACATAATCAGTGCTAGAAGGGAATGGGGTTTGTGGACTGGAGAATGAAAAAGGGGGGAGAAGAGGAGGGGAGGGGGAGGAGGAGAAACAACTATGAAGACCTTGGTGCTCTCTGAGCTTAGTTGTTTTCTTGCAGACATTTCATTACCAAACTATGTAACATAATCAGTGCTAGAATGGAGTGAGTTTGCTCTCTGTTTACATCCAAGTGGCTTGCCCTGTCAGTGTAGGTAGGAGTGTTCTTGGTGTTCCTTATTAAGGGTATTATTTGCTGCTTGATTAGACTGTTATTAATCCTGGTAATCATCTCTACTAATCTGGATGTTGATTGCTGGTGAGGTGGTGGTGTTTTGGTCTTTTATTTTTCCTTCTTTTTTTTTAATTGTCTCTTTTCAATGGGGTGTAAACGTTGCTTCTGTGCCTGTTGATGGCTGATGCGTCCGATGCCAAGGCTTCGAGGAATTCTGTAGCATTTATGGACTTGATCTTAGCTTGATCTAAAAACAACCAAGCTCAAAGAGCAGCAAGGACTCCGCATACCATACATTTTCCAACTCGTGCAATTCCACACACATTTTCTTGAAACAGAAAAAGTTAAAGAGACTCGAGAGAAATGGCCCAGCAAACATGCAGGGGGACCTTGTGACAAGCACAAAGTTACAAGTGCACCAAGTACCCACAACAGAGCACTGAAAACAGGCGATGCCACTCCTCCTAAATTTTAATCTGTTTTTAAATTATTGGGGTGTTTTAATCTGTCTGGGCCAAAATGATTTAATTTGATTTTATCTGGTTTTAAATTTTGTGTATTTATGTATTTTATTGCTTGGCTGTTCACCGCCCTGAGTCCTTCGGGAGTAGGGCGGTATACAAATCAAATAAACTAAACTAAACTAAACTAAACTTGTAACTCAGCATAGTTAGTCTTCTCCAAAACTTCTGGGAAACCAAGATTTCACGGCAGAATTTACCAACATGTTCAAACTTGAAATACAGAATTTGTGGTTTGCGATCCGCTAACTGGCAGCAAAAAAACCAAACTGAACGACAGGGTGGATTTGATTTAAACGGAGTCGATTTAAATCACGATTTAAATCGTGATTTAAATCACTAGTGAAAAAGGGTTGGTTTAAATCGACTCGATTTAAATCATAATTTTTAAAGAGCAACTGTCATCTCTGCTGTGAAATTGTGTGTATGCATCAATGCAGGGCGTGCCCTCTCAGCTTGGATTCGTTGAATGAGTTTACCAAAAATGTAAATATTGCAGAATCTACAGCCTGATGCTACATAACTCAGCTCCATTTCGTGCTGAATAAACTAAATTATTAATGTATCTTAAATGGAAAATTACAGTAGTGGCCAAAATTGGGGAAACCTTTTGGGAAAAGTGTATTTTTGAGATTTGATGGTTAATAAAACCACTTTTTTGGGGGGGGGATTTCAAAATAATCCTATTCCACTGCTGGAATGGCCTGGGAATAGCCCAGATCTTCACCTAATTGGAAATCTATGGAGCCGACTAAAGAAACTGGTTAGTCAGGAGCGACCCAGCAATAAAACCCAGTTAATAGAAGCAATCATTCAATCTTGGTTTCACATTAAACAGCTGCAGAACTCAAAGACTTGATTCACTCCATGGGAAGATGTTGTAAGGCCTTCATTCATGCTAAAGGTTACCCAACTAAGGATTAACTGACATGGGGACCATTTTTGTATATCTCGTTTTTCCTATGGTGATAATTTGTGTACATCTCATTTTTTTATGTGTTTCACTTTTCTTCTTTATGCTGTAACTGCTAATCTAATAGCAAATCCTTCATAAAAGATATTGCATTACATTCTTGATTCAATTATCTTTCCATTGATATATAATTCTATGGTACTACTCCACAGAAAAGTGGTGGCATTAGCTAGTTTGAGAAAATGCACTTTTCCCAAGAGGTTTCCACAATTTTGGCCACTACTGTATCTTTAGATAGATTTTTATTCCAAAAACATTTTATTAAAATAAATTTGATAAAAATTTGAAAAAAAATCTGATTTAAATTTAAAGAAACCAAATTAAATTTTAAAAAATCTGATTTTTGGAGGGTTTTTTTTTTAAAAATCATCGATTTTTATCCACCCCGATAAATGATATGAATTCTGTGGATTTTCCTCTGTTTGTGGCAGATTGGAAAGTGGAACAATCACAGACCAAAACCACTAAGAGATTCGCTTGCGCAAATGCGTTATTGTGCTGCCCCTTAAAAAACAGAACACCCACAATAAGATTGCGACCTTTCAACTACACACACAACACACAGTTGTATTTAGTGCAGGATGCATTGCATGCCATGCCAGGAGATAAACGAAAATAACTTACAGCTGCATCATAGCAGAGAAAGTATTAGCAAAGAAACCTGCAAGATTGAATCGGTAATTACAATTTAGCCGGAAGGAGAAAGACAACATTAAGAAGTATGTCAAATGAATGTTGGAAGTGTAAAAGTAAAGAAGGAACTTTTTAATCATCTATGGCGGACATGCGAAAAAGCAAAAAAAATAAATAAAATTGGAGCATGATTCCTATTTTAATACAGAACATTTTTGAAAACGGAGATAAAAATGAAACCAGAACTTTTCCTTTTGGGCTTAATGGAAAAAGGAATGGAGAAAAAAATTTGGAACTTTGTTATTATATATGTTGACAGCAGCAAAGACGCAAAAATGGAAGGACACTTCGATTCCCAGCATGGACGAATGGTTGCAGAAGCTGATGGAGTTGGCGGAAAGGGCAAAATTGTCTATTTTGACGAAGGAAAAGAACGTAAGTACTTGTTGTTTCCACGTGGAAACCGCTTCTGAACTTCATGCTTGATGTGGAGAAAAATGAAACTCTTTGGGATTACAGGTTATTTATTTATTTATTTATTTATTTATTTATTTTATTGAATTTGTATACCGCCCTACTCCCGAAGGACTCAGGGCGGTGAACAGCCATGGAATAAAACATATAAATACAAAATTTAAAATAGATTAAAACAAATTAAATAATTTGGCTGAACAAATTTAAAACCCCAATAGTTTTAAAACCAGATTTAAAATTTCCATATAAAAAGGGGAAAGATTTAGGTCAGGCCAGCTTGATGAAATAAAAAAGTCTTAAGCGCGTGACGGAAGGTACGCAGATCCGGGATCCTCCGTATCTCTGGGGGGAGCTCGTTCCAGATCGTAGGCGCCCCCACAGAGAAGGCTCTCCCCCTGGGGGCTGCCAGTCGACACTGTTTGGCCGACGGCACCCGGAGGAGCCCCTCTCTATGGGAGCGTACTGGCCGGTGGGACGCTATTGGTGGTAGCAGGGGTCAGCAATCTGTGGCTCCAGAGCCACATGTGGCTCTTTGGGCCCTCTGTTGTGGCTCCCTGTCGGGTGATCCCACCATTGGCTGGCCCCGCCTTTCGCCCTCTCCTACCAGTCAGTCCTCGCCTGGCCTGAGAAGGTAAGGGCGACGGCAGGGGATGGAGAAGTGGCCAGGGCAGAGAGAGAGAGATACCAAGAGAAGGGGAGAGAGAGAGACATAAAGAGATACAGAGAGAGAGGGAGAGGGGGGAGGGACGGAGGGACGGAGGGGGCAGAGAGAAATGTCAGAAGGGTTTTGTGGTTCCTGGTGTTTTTTAACAACTGGTTCTTTGCACTAATGACCGGCTGGGTAAGCATGGCTAGAGGGGGGGTCATGTGACTTGTGAAAGTGAGTGACATCAAGTTGGCCACGCCCACCCAGGTTTTGTGGGTCCCGGTGTTTCCTTTTCTGTGGGAAATGGATCCAAATGGCTCTTTGAGTGCTTAAGGTTGCAAACCCCTGGGGTCTGATCGATAGATCTTTATAGAAATGACTTGTTCGTACTGTTATGGAAAAGCAAAAAGCTGTGATTTCGTGTTAATGTTTTATTTTACTGTAACAGAGAGAGTCAAAAATCAATGTTTCTTTTTCTTTTCCCCCCCTATTTTTCCTCACGTCTCTTTCCCCCCCACATGGCTTTTCTATTTACTTTGTATTTTGTATTTTGTAATGCTTCACCACTCAATAAAAATGCTAATGGGGAAAAAAAAAAGGAAGACAATGTGAAGAAGAGAAATCTCCGTGTTTGAACAAAGTGTTTCTTTGTACCGGTTTTGATGTTATCAAGCCAACGTGTTCTTTGCTTGCCCTTCGTCTTTGTCCACCAGCCGTTCCTAGCCTCACTGACTTCTCCAACGAATTTGCACGCAGGATGCGGGCAAAGTGCATTAAAATTCGAGCACAGTGATGGTGAACATTTTCGGCACCGAGTGCCCAAACTGGAATGTGCTTGCATGTGTACACGCCGGAGTGCCGGAAACCCGAAAAACCAGCTGGCTGGCGGATTTTGGCTGTTTTCTGGGCTGGTTTTGACCCAAAAAACACCCTGAAAACACTCTGAAAAATGCCTTGAAAATACCCCGAAAAATGCCCTGAAAAACAGCCAAAAAACAGTCCATTTTCTGGGCCAAAAACAGCCTGGAAACAGCCCGGAAAAGGCCCAAAAATGGAAACTAGAAGAGCAGCTGGAGACGGCGTGCGTGCCCACAGAGAGGGCTCTCCGTGCCACCTCTGGCACGCTTGCCACAGGTTCGCCATCACGGTTCTAGCACCTTCGTATTTCACTCACTTACTGTTGTGGTCCACCAGCAGCCTGCGGAGCTGGTAGTGGAGTCGGACAGTGAAGAGGCTGAGGAAGAACAGGGGCCGGTCCTGGAGGCTGGGGAAGGCCCAGATGAGGGCTCCACATCAGAGGCAGAGATGGGGTCAGGGCCATCGGGGAGCGACGCGCGGACTCCAGAGCCTCCAGAGGCTGACAGTAGAGAGGCAGAGGAACAGGAGGAGCCTGTTCCTAGTGCACGTATGAGAAAAGCTGCCAGAAGGCAGGAGCAGCTAAAGCAAAAAGGACGACTCAGGAGTAAGGCCAAGAGATGATTGGCCCCTCCCATAAGGCTTAAAAGACCAGCAATGGCTCTTGGGCTCCTTGTCGGAAAACAACGTTGATAGATTTGTTTCTTGTCTTGCTGCATTTCTTTCTTGTCGGCGTCTTCTGCTTCTGAACTTTTGCCAAGAAAAGCCTTTGGCAGGTTGCCTAATTAGACCAAGGTTGGTGATAAGGCTGAAGAATTTGTGTTATGAAGAATTTGTTTTGAATTAGTTTGGACTACGCTGAGAATGAGTTAATTCTCAGCTGTTCTAATAAAGTCTGTTTGTTTTCCAACTGATTGCGTCTGATAATACCTACTTGGGCCTGAGTCACAATACTTACATTGTCCCCTTCGCTTCGCAGTTTCCAAAAGGGCTGAATGTAGAACCAGGAGCCTTCGTTGCCGGCTGCATCCAAAGAGACACGCATGGCGTTTTTTTCCAACAAGGCCGGCAACCTCTTATTGACCGTGAGATATTTGTTGCTCTTGATATGAAGCAGCTGTCAGGGAGGAAAATAAATAAGATTCGTGCATTCGGACTCGACCGTTTTGGTTAAGATTCATAACCCAAGTTATGTTCCTGTGCTACTAGAACGTAGGGAAATCTCTTTGATTTTTGGCTGTCTACCTTTCGAGGGAATGGGACAAGAACGTGGCTAACCACAGTACAAGCTGGCTTAATTTAGGAGCCGAGGTGGTGCAGTGGTTAGAATGCAGTATTGCAGGCTAAACTCTGCCCACTGCCAGGAGTTCGATCCTGACCGGCTCAAGCCTTCCATCCTCCTGAGGTTGGTAAATGAGGGCCCAGACTGTTGGGGGCCAGAGGCTGACTCTGTAAACTGCTTAGAGAGGTCTGTAAAGCACTGTGAAGTGGTATATAAGTGCTATTCCTTCCTTCCTTCCTTCCTTCCTTCCTTCCTTCCTTCCTTCCTTCCTTCCTTCCTTCCTTCCTTCCTCTCTTATTCCCTTTCTCAATCTCCTTCTTGGTGGCGCAGTGGTTAGAATGCAGTATTGCAAGGTAACTTTGCCCACAGCCAGGAGTTCGATCCTGACTGGCTCAAGGTTGACTCAGCTTTCCATCCTTCCGAGGTCGGTAAAATGAGGACCCAGATTGTTGGGGGCAAAATACTGATTCTGTAAACTGCTTAGAGAGGGCTGTGAAGCACTGTGAAGTGGTATATGTGCTATTGCTCTTCCTTCCTTCCTTCCTTCCTTCCTTCCTTCCTTCCTTCCTTCCTTCCTTCCTTCCTTCCTTCCTTCCCAGTGGTTAGAATGCAGTATTGCAGGTTAACTCTGCCCACTGCCAGAAGTTCAATCCTGACTGTCTCAAAGGTTGACTCAGCCTGCCATCCTTCCGAGGTGGGTAAAATGAGGACCCAGATTGTTGGGGGCAAGAGGCTGGCATTGTAAACCACTTAGAGAGAGCTGTAAAGCCCTGTGAAGCGGTATATAAGTCTATATAAAGTACTATAGCTATTGCTATTCATTTACAGTTCTCACACTGCAAATGCTATCAACTCTCCACAACAGACAAATGGCTGAAATTATGAACCATCATTCACAACTTACAAATTATGAACACATGATGCAATTATCTGGGTGATGGCATGACACACACGTGATATCCTATCGCAGTTATTGTGGCTTTTTTAGACAGCTGTGAGTAACTACATATTCTCTGCAAAAGGGCCTCAACGGAAGGTGACTCAGCCACCATTAAACCAAGTTATTCAGTCCTCACAAAGCTTCGAGGTGGAAAATTGACTTCCTGTTTCAATTTCCTCATTTCATTTTCCTTTATAAACTACCTAGGCGTTGGAATTTCTGACTGGACTTTTTTTTGCAAAAGATTCCTCCTGTTTTCAGGGTGGCTGATATTGCTTTTTAAAGGGGGGGAAAAAATCAGTTTCATTTTTTTTAACGGTTCTAAATTTCAAGGGTTACATTCCTACCAGAGAGATCAAAGTTTAAACCACCATTGAAACACAGCCCGGACTGAGTTATGGTAAATCAATGAACTCTGGACTGCTGTGAGATAAATAGGAGACATACCTATGGGCTGCACCTGCATACCTCTGGAGAAAATGCGGGATATATTTGCAATAAATATGGTACTTCTCTAGTGTTATGCATAGATACACGTGGCGTTTTGTTAATCAAATTAAAGGACCCACCTCTGAGATACTTTGAGCTTGCAAGGATAACAAAAGTACAAGTAATCCTCCACTTATGACCCCAATTGAGCCCAAAGTTCCTATCACTAAGCAAGACAGTCTCTTTGTCCCGTTTTACGATCTTTATCACCACCATTGCTAAGTGAATTGCATCAGTTGTCAAGTCAAGTCACCTGGTTGTTAAGCGAATCCGCCATGGAAGGGAAGGGAAGGGAAGGGAAGGGAAGGGGAAGAGAAGGAGAAGAGAAGAGAAGAGAAGAGAAGAGAAGAGAAGAGAAGAGAAGAGAAGAGAAGAGAAGGAATAGGAACAGAACAGGAAAGAATAGAGTAGAGTAGAGTAGAGCAGAGCAGAGCAGAGCAGAGCAGAGCAGAGCAGAGCAGAGCAGAGTAGAGTAGAGTAGAGTAGAGTAGAGTAGAGTAGAGTAGAGTAGAGTACAATACAGTAGAGTAGAGTAGAGTACAGTAGAGTGAAAGATAGAGATAGAGAGAGTAGAGTACAGTAGAGTAGGGTAGGGTAGAGTAGAGTAGAGTAGAGTAGAGTAGAGTAGAGTAGAGTAGAGTAGAGTAGAGTAGAGTGGAATGGAATGGAATGGAATAGGAATAGGAATAGGAATAGGAATTAGGAGAGGAGAGGAGAGGAGAGGAGAGGAGAGGAGAGGAGAGGAGAGGAGAGGAGAGGAGAGGAGAAAAGTAGAAAATGGAATAGAATGGAATAGGAATAGGAATAGAAAATAGAGTGGGGGGAAATGGCCTCCAAGCATCATCGGTTCCCGTGAGACATTGCTTCCCCCTTTCAAGGACACCCTGAGCAGATGTTCCAGCATGGCCGGCCGGTTCCCATACCAAGATGAACAGAAGTGATCAGTGGACTTAATGGGTCGTGGGTGGCCCATGGGGGAATGGCGGGGGGGGAGAGAATGGACTATGCCTGCTTTTGCATGGGAAACCCAGAGCTGGTTTCGCTTCTTCTATCTGTGCCAATGTGGTTTATTCAATAAAGTTTTCTACTCCTGGTAAAATAATGCCCCGGGAGGTTTCTTTTTTCTGGATTCGGCAACTGGACGGTGGACACCCGATCTCTTTGCGGCTTGCAAAAGACTCACCTGGATCACGTTGCTGTATTTCACAATTTCCCCCAGCAGCTTCCGGTTCTCACATTCGTTCTGCTTCTGTTCCAGTTCAGCTGCATGCTGGAAGGGAATCGGTCGAGTTGAATTATGAGCAGAATCACAGAGTCGGAAGGGGCCTCGGAGGTCATCTAGTCCAACCCCCGGCTCAAGCACGACACCCTCCAGACAAATATTGGCCAATCTCTTCTTGAAAATCTCCAGTGTTGGAGCACCCACAACTTCTGGTGGCAAGCAGTTCCATCGATCAATTGTTCTCACTGTTAGGAAGTTTCTCCTTAGTTCTAGATTGCTTCTCTCCTTGATGAGTTTTGAAGCCCAAAATGGCCCTCAGGAATAACCTCTAGATCAACAATTCTCAATCTGTGGTCTAGGGACCTCTGGCGATTCTCCATATCTTTTCAGAGGGTCCACAAAGTCAAATAAACAAACATTTTAACATGTCTCAGTTTTAACTTCTAATACTGTACCAGTAGTGGAATTCATTTTTTTTTACTACCGGTTCTGTGGGTGTGGCTTGGTGGGCGGGGCATAGTTTGGTGGGCGGGGCTTGGTGGGCATGGCAGGGGAAGGTTACTGCAAAATGCCTTCCGTCGTGCCCTTAAAACACATTTTTTCAAGCAAGCCGGGCTGGCTTAAGAAGAAATTTTTAAATGTTTTAATTGGTAGTGAGTTTTAATTGGGCCAAATTTATATATTTTTTTAATTGTTTTTTTAATATTTGTACTGCATGTTTTTTAATTTTGGCTGTACACCGCCCTGAGTCCTCAGGGAGAAGGGCGGTATAGAAATTTAATAATAAATAAATAAAATAAATAAATAAAATCCCCATTTCCTCCCGATCAGCTGGGACCCGGGAGGCAGAGAATAGATGAGGGCGGGGCCAGTCAGAATTTTTACTACCAGTTCTCCGAACTACTCAAAATTTCCGCTACCGGTTCTCCAGAACTGGTCAGAACCTGCTGAAACCTACCTGGCGTGTTCTTGCCGGATCGGAGGGGTCGCAATGACTGAGGCGAGACGCGAGCTAACAGGTAACGTTTATTCTAACCGGCTGACTTTCCCACAACAGTCACAACAAGAGCGTTTCTCTCTGTTTGACGGCTCTTTTATACTGGCTGTCAAATGGCTGGCCAATCATGAACAAGGTAAGAACTTCTCTCCCCACTAGGGGGCCAGATCCTGGAGCAGACTCAGTACACTACACCACCTCTGCTACGCGGCCCGTTTTGGATGTAGGTAACTGCAGGGCGTGCGCGGAGGCTTGGGGAGGGTGAATAATGGGCCTACTGGAAGTTCGGGAAGGCTAGAAACGGGCTCATTTCTGGCTTCCAGAGGGCTTCTGGAGCCTGGGGAAGCCATTTTCTCCCTCCTGGAGGTTCGAGGAAAGCCTTTGGAGCCTGGGGAGGGCAAAAACGCCCTCCATCATGGTGCAGGAGGCTGACTAGGCCACGTCCACCATGGCCACGCCCACCCAGCAACTGGGCAGAGAACCCCTTGCTAAAATTTTTGAAGCCCATCCCTAACCTCTATATATATATAGCGAGAAAAAAGAAGAAGAAGAAAAGACAGCATCAGAAGTTATTGAAAGAAGGAAAAAAAATTGAATTAGAACTGCCAAAAAAAAAAAAAAAACCTTACTTGTAATTTCTTTAACAGGGCCGCTTCGGTGTGGCTGCCCTGTTTGGCTTGCTTGGCTTTCCAGTATTGCTTCTGTGCGGAATATCGGTTCATGGGACACACTTTGAAAAGGCAATCTGAAGAGCAAAAGCACAAAACCAACAATTAAAAGAAGATTCTTCTCCTCCGCTTCGTCCTTTCGTGAACGCCGGCTCGTGGGAAGGTCTGCAGATATATTTTGACGAGACCAGAGACGTGCAGCCGACTCAGCTGGAATTTGCAGACCCCCTTAATTGATATCAATTTTTTATTCAAATGTAAGATTCAAAGAAAAAATAAAAAGCAATGGAAAACTAAGGGAAGGAAGAAGGGAAGAAGGGAAAATGGGGGGGTGAAAAGAGAAAAAGAAGAAAGAAAAAGGCATTGACTTCCAACTCTCTTTGGCACAGTAAAAAGATAATAACATTACAGCCTCAACTTTTTACTTTTATGCAGTAGTAGCCATTTGTATAATGTACCCACAACTTCTGTAATGTGAATAAAAGAAGGAAGCATACAGAGTCAGCTATATGAACTCTAAAGGACCCTCTCTATTCACATTATTATAAGATAGAAAAGTGCTTGCTTGGAGATTGTATTAAAAATCAGCTAAACCCCATTAAGTGGTAATATATCTTCTGATGAGACCTAGCTGTCATGGAAGGACAGCCATATGGAAAACATCTGAGTGACCTCACTGTGAATGACACAGACATATATGTTACAAAGAGTTACTTAATCCAATAAATTTACCTAAGAACAGCAGTAACTCTCCCATTAGCAACTACAAGCATTTAAGGAAGGTTGTCTAACTAAAGATAATATTATAAACTAAAAATAATGGTTTACTAATGGTTTAGTAATTAGGAAGTGTGTCAATTATCATATAACAAATGTATGTTAACCATATATGGAAAATGCATGATATCACTGAATCCTTTATCTTAGAAATGTATAAAAACAGAGGTATCAGAGCTCTTTCCTTGTTCAAAGTTTCAGGTACAAATCTGGCTCTGAACCTTGCGCAATAAAAAAACTGTCTCTGGCTGACCTAGGAATGTTGTTTGGTCTCATCATTCCATAACATCTAGTGGCAAATTGTTCCACTGGTTAATTGTTCTAACTGTCAGGAAATTTCTCCTTAGTTCTAGGTTGCTTCTTTCCTTGATTAGTTTCCACCCATTGCTTCTTGTCCTGCTTTCAGGTGCTTTGAAGAATAGCTTGACTCCCTCTTCTTTGGGGCAGCCCCTGAGATATTGGAAGACTGCTATCATGTCTCCCCTGGTCCTTCTTTTCATCAGACTTAAGACATACCCAGTTTCAGCAACCGTTCTTCCTATGTTTTAGTCTCCAGGCCTTTTAATCATCTTAGTTGCTCTTCTCTGCACCTTTTCCAAAGTCTCAACCTCTTTTTCCTAACGGGGTTGGACTAGAAGACCTCCAAGGTCCCTTCCAACTCTGTTATTCTGTTCTATTCTAGTCTCTTCCAGTGGGTCAGAGACCTGCCTGATAACAGATTCATACATTCGAAATAGGAATGTATGGTCTGACATCAGTGCATTTATTAAGTGAACAATTACTAGGAAGTTGGGGAGCGGGGCCGGGAGTCCGTGGCGTATTTGTTTTTTGTGGGTCTCCCCCTCCCCCTCCCCCATTTTCATGTCTTTCAAAAAATGGCTTTCCTGGTGAAAAACCTCTAAAAACACATGCAGATAACTTCCTGTTCTACTCTACTGTTCCATTTGCACAATAAAGCACAGAAGGGCCATTCAAGAGAAAGTTTTTTTGAGAACTGTTTAACACTCTCTCTCTCTCTCTCTCTCTCTCTCTCTCTCTCTCTCTCTCTCTCTCTCTCTTTCTTTCTTTCTTTCTTTCTTTGCACAAAGGTCAGTTTAGGTAGCGCAGCTCGGGTTGCAAAAACAAGCCACTATACCAGTGATGGCTAACTATACTATTCCCAGATGAATGTTTGTCTTTTGCCAAGGAAAAGAAAGGCGCCCGAGAATTCACGGCTTGGGTTGACTCAAGAATATTGCAATCCAGAGGCAATTAATGTGACCCAGAGAGAGTTGGACTTACAACGGTTCATTTAGTGACAGTGCGAAGTTACAACGGACCTGAAAAAAAAGCAAGTTAGGACCATTTTTTTCACACTTAACAACCATTGCAGCTCTCCCACCGTCACCTGATCAAAAGTCAGGTGCTCGGCATGTGGTTCCTATTTATGACGGTCGCTGTGTCCCGGGAGGAAATCACGTGATCCCGTTTGGCGACCCTCCAATGAGCAAAGTCAGCGGGGGATCCAGATTCACTTAACCGCCGTGTGGCTAACTTCATAAACGCAACGATTCCGTGGACAACGGTGGCAAGGAAAGTCGTAAAACGGGGCAAACTTGCCGAACGCATGTTTCACTGTTATAACTTCGAAGTCCCTAAATTAAACTGTCCTAACGCAGGAACTAACTGCATTTCAGCTTCGTTTTGTATTTGAACATTGTAAATAAATTAATTACAAATTTACAAAAAAAAAAAATTGGGAGTTCAGGCTTTGTGGTTTCTTTTTTTTTTAATTTTCTCTTCTTCGCCAGTTTGCAAAGCTTGCAAATAAACTGTTGTATCTGGAGAACCAGCTGCATTTTAGCTTCGTTTTGTATTTGAACATTGTAAATAAATTAATTACAAATTTGCAAAAAAAATTGGGACTTCAGGCTTTGTGGTTTCTTTTTTTTAAAATTTTCTCTTCTTCGCCAGTTTGCAAAGTTTGCAAATAAACTGTTGTATCTGGAGAACCAGCTGCATTTTAGCTTCGTTTTGTATTTGAACATTGTAAATAAATTAATTACAAATTTGCAAAAAAAGGAGTTAAGAAGCAGGTGATTTTTCTAAGGACTGAAAAACATCTATCAACTATTCACGCTTGTCTGGCTGAAAACAATTCCTTCTTGTCTCTCCTTCTTCTTCACCCACAACGGCTTAAGAGAAACTTGGTTTCTAACTTGGTTTCTTTTTCGATTCTCTCTTCTTTGCCGGTTTGCAAATTAGCAAAGCAAAAAAATAAATAAATAAAAAAAATGTTCTCAGGCCCACAACATAGATTGTGGTTTCTCATGTCCATCGCACACAACTTCCTTTATTCTATTCATCCATTGAACCCTGGTGAAAGGCTTAATAGCGTTAAGTCAAAAGTCATGTGAGCTGCACGGTTGACACCTGTCCGTCATTCCACTTTGCTCCGTGTAAATAAGGTGCTCGTACAATGGGTTCATTGTTCCCGTTCGGTTTAACTTTAAAATAAAATAAGAAAGGGAAGCGTGACGAAGGGAGGTTCTTGGTTAAAGGGCAGAGGGATAGAATTAGAGAATTGGACTAGGGTTTTTTTTTTCCTAGAAGAAGAATTGGAGGAGGAAGAGGAAGGAAATAAAAATCAGTCAGGAAACAACGACCCTGTTCACGAAAGAAGAACTTGTTGCATCAGAAAATAAAAATTTTTAAAAAACCAATAATATCTTAATATACTTTGGGCCACACATGGGGACTGCAGCCAAGAAATTAAAAGACGCTTGCTCCTGGGGAGGAAAGGCAAATCTAGACAGCATACTAAAAAGCAGAGACATCACCCTGCCAACAAAAGAGCGTATAGTCAAGGCTACAGTTTTCCCAGTTGCAATGGATGGCTGTGAAAGTTGGACCATAAGGAAGGCTGAGCGCTGAAGAATTGAGGCCTTTGAACTCTGGTGCTGGAGAAGACTCCTGTGAGTCCCTTGGACTGCAAGGCCATCCAACCGGTCAGTCCTAGAGGAGATCAACCCCCGACTGCTCTTCAGAAGGCCAGATCCTGAAGAGGAAACTCAAATCCTTTGGCCACCTAATGAGAAGGAAGGACTCCCTGGAGAAGAGCCTCATGCTGGGAACGACGGAGGGCAAAAGAAGAAGGGGACGGCAGAGAACGAGGTGGCTGGATGGAGTCACTGAAGCTGTTGGTGTGGGCTTAAATGGACTCCAGAAGATGGTTAAAGAACAGGAAGGCCTGGAGGAACATGCTCCATGGGGTCGTGATGGGTCGGACATGACTTCACAACTAACAACATACTTAGGGCATGGATTTTTGGGGAAAGGAAAGAAGAAAAATGAAATGGAGAAGAACAGAGGTTGAATGACCAAATCCACAAAATAAGAACAACATGCAAAGATCAAAGGAAGATCATGATAAGCCATCATTCTCCTCTTAGAAACTTCTATAGATAGTCACGACCATAACTGGGGCAGAAATTTCCCCAATTGTGATCATAATTCGAGTCGGATTTTGCAATTTTACGACCATTTTCACGACAGCCTTTAAATGAATCACTGCAGCCATTAAGTGGCTACGCAGTCGCAAGTGTGAAGCCATTCTTATAAATGGGCACTCTTTTTTGCTGGACATCAGCACAAAAAGGGACAAAAATTGCAGTCACATGACCTTCGGACATGACAACCTGAATGGTAAATGGTGGGACATGCCCAAATTGGGATCAGGTGACCATGCAGGATCAGTTGTAAGTGCAAGGACCAGTCGTAAGCCTGAGGAGTGGAGTTTTTTCAGCACCATTGTAACTTCGAAGAGCTGCTAAACGAACGGTCGTAAATCAAGGACTATCTGTATGAATAACAGTAAAAATACTCAGACTTCCTAATTAGTAGTAGCCAGGATAGGCTACTACTGGTAGAAATTTCTTGGAGGTATATTCCCAACACCTTTGAAGGTCTCTAGAGAATCTCTGTTGTAGCATAAGTAACAATAACAACAGATGTAACAATGACAATTGTTACAATTGCTTGTTATTTACAATGTCCTTTTAATGTCTTTAGCGTTCTTAGAAATTCAGTTTATCTATAGCACTACAGAGCAAACAAAGAGCACAATCACCATGTGCTTTACTGCTCAACTGTTTTAACTGTAACAGGAAACAGGAAACTCTACTCAGAACCAAGGAGCATAGCCATAGAGCATACCATAGATCCACACTTGTAAACACTGCCATCTACTGGCGAAATACTACTATAGTTGTTGCATAGAAATACATTCCAACAATGAATTCCAACAATTATTGCTTACCTCGGAATTTTTTGGGCGGGTTGCAAAGATCGCCTGCTTCCGGATGAACCACACATCTGTCATCCACGAGCCTAGAAGAAGAAAAATCAAAAGACTTTATCATGACTTTTGCATTTATGGATCAAGACAAAGTCTCCAAAGTTTATAACTTTGATTCTTTTGATTTCGCCTAACCACAAAAACAAACACTTCCCAAAATATAGGTCCTCGCGTGAAAAATACACCAGTGTCCAGTTTTGTCACAAAAACTGTAGATCCAATCATTTTCATCCTCTCTGTGGAATGTAAACTTTCAGAATACAGGTAGTCCTCAACTTACAACAGTTCGTTTAGTGACCCATTCAAAGTTACAACGGCATTGAAAAAAGTAACTCATGACTGTTTTTCATAGTTACGACCTTTGCAGCATCCCCATGGTCATGTGATCAAAATTCAGACGCTTGGCAACTGATTCATATTTATGATGGTTGCAGCGTCCCCTGGGTCCCGTTTTGCGACCTTCTGACAAGCCACATCAATGGGGAAGCCAGATTCACTTAACAAGCAGGTTACTAATGTATCAATTGCAAGTGATTTACTTAACAAATGTGGCAAGAAATGTAGTAAAAAAAGGGGCGAAACTCACTGAACAAATGTCTCACTTAACAACGGAAATTTGGGGTTCGGTTTTGGTCATAAGGAGAGGACTTCCTGTACATGAAAAAAGAAAACTCCTAATTCTTCAAGTAGAGTCCAGAAAGACAGTGCGACATTGTGAAAACAATGCGCGTGTTTTCAATTATTGGTAAATTATTGGACAGTAAACCGATTCACTGAACGAAAACCCCAGATAGTCCTCGACTTACCACAGTTCATTTAGTGACTGTTTGAAGTTACAAATACGCAAAGTTGCAAATATGCAACTCGTATTTATGACGGTTGGAGTGTCCCTGGAGTCACGTAAAGTCACCGGGGACGCCAGATTTGCTTAACAACTGTGTTACCCATTTAACAACTGCAGTGATTCCCTTAACAACGGTGGCAAGAAAGGTCATAAAACAGGGCCAAACTCACTCCTTCTCTTTATTTTTAAAAATTCATAATTAACTGTTTTGTTAGCAGGATCATTATTTACATTTATATCCAGTATGTTAATATCTAATTTCACTATATTCTTATTTCTTAATTTGATTTCTGTTTTCCAACCATGTATAAAACCTATTCCACACTTTATAATAATCCGAGTCTTCTCTTTCTTTGATCTCCATCGTTAATTTATCCATTTCGAGGATTTTCTTTATTATTGTTTCTTCCGATGGTGTATTGGTCGACTTCCACATTTGCGCCAGAGTAATTCTGGCCGCCATTAGAATATGCAATATAATATAATAGAAACTTTTTTCCATTTTTCTATCAATCATTCCTAGGAGGAACATCTCTGGATTAAAATCTATCTTTTGGAGTGTAATCTCTTCCAACCACCCTTTAATTTTATACCAAAATTTTCTCACCTTCGGGCACATCCACCACATGTGGTAGTATGTCCCTAGTTGGGGCCAAACTCACTTAACAAACGTTCACTGAGCAACAAAAATTTGGAGCTCAATTGTGGTCGTAAATCGAGGACTACCTATGTATAGATGTCATAGTTTGCTAGGCCGCCGTCGTCACGTTTCTGACCACTGCCAAGGTGTCTTTAAACGGATCCAACTAATGAATAGATATTCCGTGAACTGAAATAAGGAAGGAGTAAGAATCTCTTCGTACGGCGTCCACTTTAAGTGGGAAAGCACGCAAGCCATCGCTTTTCCACTCCGTACTTCATCCCCCACCGGAGCCTTGCAATCTCCTCTATAAACAACTGGCAAACACAACAGCTTAGTTGTCATTCAGGCACAATCCTCATGTAAATGACCTCCCTGTTTCCTAAAAAAATTAGTAACCACTACGAGCTTTGCATGCAAACAGAGGAAGCAGAAAGAAAGAGAGAGAGAGAGAGGGAGGGAGGGAGAGAAGAAAGAAAGAAAGAAAGAAAGAAAGAAAGAAAGAAAGAAAGAAAGAAAGAAAGAAAGAAAGAAAGAAAGAAAGAAAGAACCCAGCCAAAAAGCCATAAGCTCGGAAAACTTTGCATTTTGCTCCTTGTTTCTTGCAAGGTTTCCTTTCATTGTGCGTGGATAAATTCCTGATTTCCTCCCTACTCCATTCACCATTGAAACTTTGCGGGGTGATTGCCAGGTTCTATAGATTTATTTACTGCAGCTCGCAGGAAGCGATAAGTAGAAAATGCACTCCCAGCAAAGAGGAGGACTTGCTCCAGTTTGGGTCAAGATGCAGCTGCTGGAGGCTGTATTCTCCTGGCCGTCTGAATTCGGCAGGGGACACGCAGGATATGGGGGGGGGAATCGTAGCGCTGAAGGGCCAAGCATCCAGCGTTGCAGGCCATCAATGGGATAAGCAACGAACAGGGTTGCAAACCTGTCCGACTGTACAACAGCTCCTTGAACCCACTACCAGCTGCACTAATTTTACCCTGTTCTGTTTTTTACTTTATTTTTGTAATGTGATTCTAGTTGCAATTCTGGTCTATGATCGTGAGAAACATTCTGTTCTGTTCTGTTCTGTTCTATTCTATTCTGTTCTATTCTGTTCTATTCTGTTCTATTCTATTTTCTCTCTTCTCTTCTCACTTCTCTTCTCTTTTTTCTTCTCTTCCAGTCCAGTCCAGTCCAGTCCAGTCTACTCTACTCTACTCTACTCTACTCTACTCTACTCCACTCCACTCCACTCCACTCCACTCCACTCCACTCCACTCCCTATTCATTCTCTACTCTACTCTACTCTACTCTACTCTACTCTACTCTACTCTACTCTACTCCACTCCACTCCACTCCACTCCACTCCACTCCCCATTCATTCTCTACTGTACTCTACTCTACTCTACTCTACTCTACTCCACTCCACTCCACTCCCTATTCATTCTCTACTCTACTCTACTCTACTGTACTGTACTGTACTGTACTCTACTCTACTCTACTGCAATCGACTATGATTTTAATTTGAGAACTATCTGTGTTGACAAATGAGCAACTGATGTACACAAGATGTGATAACATTTTGTTTTTTTTTTAGGATTATTCTAGCCTGAAATCTTCACCTTCTTCATTGAGGGGAATGCCCACAGCCTTCGTGCCACCTCCTCTTCTGTGACATAACTCAGAAAAATAGGAAATGCTCTTTTTCTTGAGAATTTTCTTCTCTGCAACTGAAACCCTCCCACATGGCACTTAGTTTATGCATGCAGGGAAATGTCTCCTGGCATTTTTAAAGTTTGCTGATTGATGATGATGATGATGGAGGAGGAGGAGGAAAAGGAGAAGGAGAAGAAGAAGAAGCAGAAAAAAAAGAAGAGGAGGAGGAGAAGGAGAAGAAAAAGGAGGAGGAGGAAGAAGACGAAGAGGAGGAGGAGGAGAAAAGGGGGAGGGGGAGGAGGAAGAGGAGGAGGAGAAGAAGAAGCAGAAAAAGAAGAGGAGGAGGAGAAGGAGAAGAAAAAGGAGGAGGAGGAAGAAGAAGAAGAGGAAGAGGAGGAGGAGGAGAAAAGGGGAGGGGGAGGAGGAGGAGGAGGAGGAGAAGAAAAGGAGAAGAAAAGGAGAAGAAAAAGGAGGAGGAGGAGGAGGAGGAGGAGGAGGAGGAGGAGGAGAAGAAGAAGAAGAAAAAGAAGAAGAAGAAGAAGAAGAAGAAGAAGAAGAAGAAGAAGAAGAAGAAGAAGAAGAAGAAGAAGAAGAAGAAGAAGAAGAAGAAGAAGAAAAGGGAGGAGGAGGAGGAGAAAAAGAAGGAGGAGGAGGAGGAGGAGGAGGAGGAGGAGGAGGAGGAGGAGGAGGAGGAGGAGGAGGAGGAGGAAGAAAAAAGGGAGGACGAGGAGAAGGAGAAGAAAAAGGAGAAGAAAAAGGAGGAGGAGGAGGAGGAGGAGGAGAAAGCCAGACCTGCCTGTAAGTACAAAAATTATTATAACGTCCTGGCAATGGCTAAGACCAGGAAAGTTGAAGAAAGAGAGAGAGGAACTAATTCTGGATGCTTAAAAGTAAACCTCAAGAACAAGTGCGTACAAAGCCAGAATTGAGAAGGCAGCAAAAGGCAGCAAAGAAGCTGAAGAAACAATGAATCATCTGCTAAGATGCTGCAAGAAGATCACCCAGACCAACTACAAACAACGGCATGACAAAGTAGCAACAAGGGTGCATTGGAAGATCTGCAAGAAATCCCATTTGCCTGCAAGCAAGAAATAGAATAGAAAACGAAGACGCTGAAGTGCTCTGGGACATTCTCTTCTATTCCATTCCATTCCATTCCATTCCATTTCATATTTTCTATTCTATTCTATTCTATTCTATTCTATTCTATTCTATTCTATTCTATTCTATTCTATTCTATTCTATTCTATTCTATTCTATTCCTATTCCTATTCCTATTCCTATTCCATTCCATTCCATTCCATTCCATATTTTCTATTCTATTCTATTCTATTCTATTCTATTCTATTCTATTCTATTCTATTCTATTCTATTCTATTCTATTCTTTCTACTCTACTCTTCCAGTCCATTCCATTCCACTCCACTCCACTCCACTCCACTCCACTCCACTCTACTCTACTCTACTCTACTCTACTCTACTCTACTCTACTCTACTCCTATTCTATTCTATTCTACTCTACTCCTATTCTATTCTATTCTATCCTATTCTATTCTATTCTACTCTACTTATTCTATTCTATTCTACTCTACTCTATTCCTATTCTATTCTATTCTACTCTACTCCTATTCTATTCTACTCTACTCCTATTCTATTCTATTCTGTCCTATTCTATTCTATTCTACTCTACTTATTCTATTCTATTCTATTCTACTCTACTCTACTCCTATTCTATTCTACTCTACTCCTATTCTACTCTACTCTACTCTACTCTACTCTACTCTACTCTACTCTACTCTACTCTACTCTACTCTACTCTACTCCTATCTATTCTATTCTACTCTACTTATTCTAGTCTAGTCTAGTCTATTCTAGTCTAGTCTAATCTAGTCTAGTCTAGTTTAC